AACTTTAGCAATTAATTCAGTGAAATCAGAGGCTGACAGCAACTTGCGCACAGGTGAACGGGCTGAGTGGAATTCCGCATCCATCAAGTGGCTGGAAAGCATGATAATGGCGGACCTTAAATTTGGGCGGCAAACGGCGAAGGCAATTGATCAGGCCATAATCTGATTGGCCAAAGGTACGACCAGCTACTTTAAAGTAATTGGCTCTACTTTGCACAACCGAATACGACTGGTGTAAGATAATGAGGAAAATGAATCGATGAACAAAATTTGAAAGTTCACTTGGGGTTGGCTGATTCGTGCTCTAATCTGCCTCAGCAAAATTGCCTGAGGGAAAAAGAAGTGTATTAGATGAGTCATTGACCGGAGTACATGTTGAGCCGGACTATCTGCTAATAGGGCTTTGGAATTGAGCCCGGCTGGCATGAGGGGACGCCAATCAAGCCCAGCCTACACCCATCCATCCTCCCACAAGCACATCCGTCTATTATTCCGTTTGTTCATCCGACCTTCTATAGAGGCGTAGTTCCCCAACCTTTCGCATTTCCCCAACCTATCACGGCCTAGCGACCCGTCTAACCATCTCGCACCATGCCGTTGCACCGCGCTGGCGACCGGAGCAATAGATAGGATTCCAGCAGCCAAGCGCGCGCCTGCACTGCTCCCGACTGAGCGTGTGGGGAACAGTCCATTCTTCTTATTTATTCCAACGCCGGTAATCCTAAATCGACTAGCCCACCGCATTGGTTGAGCGGGCTGAGAACGACTAACGTCTCTGAGGTAGGCTCTTGCGAGCACAGTTCTCGTCTTATTGTACCGCAGTCGGTGGCGTCTGTGCAATCGGAGCAATTATCCAATCAGCATACACCGTCCTTGGGCCTAAAAGAGGCAGGCGTAGGCACGTCAATAATCGATGCGCTGATTTGCCATCACAGGGCAGTGACCAATAGAATTGGCCTGTGATTTGAGCTCGGCAGTCGGCACAAGCCCGTGTTCTGACGGCCCTTTGCACCACTTTCAAACAGTCACGATGACTCGGGTCGGTTGTAGACGTTTCTTCCGTTGGCATGGCTGCATTTTTGAGCTCATTTTGATTATTATCTCGAGTCTCGACTGCTACTCTAGCAAATGGTAGAGATGCTGCCAACAGCACTTATATATTGATTCAGCCCCACCTTGCTAGACCAATTTCCCCTGACGTCCTCGGGAAGCATATGATCCTACACAACACTGCCTTGAATTTGGCATGCACCAATAATCTCATTTTTACTCTAATCATATTTAATGTGAATCATACTTTAACTTTACCTGGACCAAGTCTACGCATTACATTCGAGCCCCTTGCATCTGCGCCTTAGTAATGTCGCTCAGACATCCGAGGGCGACGGCCCGGCTCCATTAGAAGCGAAGTTCAGCTTTTCCAGTCATTGATTATGTGCCCTCAAGATGTGCCCCCCATGAGGCACGAACCAACGTGCTGCACTCGCGGTCGCCCCGTCTTCCAAGGTCCCGGAGCGGGAACATGGTTACAGTGACTCGTTATGTTGATAGTCGTGTTCATCTGATTACAGCATATGTGCCTACCCCAGGATCATCTAAGCTCGTCAGCCAAGGCAACGCCGACTCACGCTAATCCGGGCAGGCTAGTTGCACCACACAAGTCCTCGCATCCTTCCCTTGGCTTCCCACCTGTCCGTCTTCTCGCGACCGTAAGAGTCTTGTTTGCATTTACATTTGTTTATACGTTTACTATCTCATCGTTGGGCGATTTTTCATCGTCTCCCAACTTTTGGCTGTGCGATGGCGAGACTGCAATGCAGAACACAACGATTCAAATCACAAATTCTCTATAAAAGGGGCTTGCAATTTTGACCTGAGGCCTACCGCCTGCATCCCGTAAGGCCGTACTTATTCAGCCCTGACTACAGTCGTGGTATCGCCTCCTTGCCTCATCGGCGCCCTCAGCGGCATTAAAACCGTGCAGATGCGCGTCGAAAGGCAAACAAACAGTTTAGCTGTATGACATGTATTCACCCTATTTCGTTTACTTGTAGTCTCGAAACTCTTCTTATATACGAAAAACATTTGAGCTCACTTGTCACACCACCCTGGCCCCAGTCTGAAGTCCCACCATTTAATGCGGATTATATCGATGAAAGAATTATAGTCGGCAAGGCTCAATGAACTTTTTTGCTATTTAAGGGTTTTTTCTTACTACGTTATGAGCAGTTCAACTATGAGGTTTTCAATCTCCTCATGCGACTTAAGATAACTCGGGTTCTTTTGCTTAAAGCATGTCTTACTGAGACATTCAACGAGGTGGCTATTTGATGCTTATCCTCATCTCGGGGTGAGGGGTGTTG